CACACACACACACACACACACACACACACACACACACACACACACACGCGTGACTTTTCATGTATATACTCACAAATATAGGCTGCCTGATGCACACATTTTAATATCTGGACATTATTTATTATTAGGTAATAAATAATGGGGTAATGGGTTTTGGACAAGCTCAGGTGGCTGGGGTCCTGGCTGGGGCCACCTTGGTGTGATGGTCTCCCGTCCCCATGTAGCGCCCTGAGCTTAGGAAGTTCTGTTGATTCTCTCTGGGACTTCGAAGGATCACTACCCATCAGTGTCCTGATTACAAATGAATTGCTTCATGGCCAAGAACCCAGAGTAGCAAGAACGTGATTTAAGCGGCCTGACACACAAAAGCCCAAAGCATTTCTGAGAAAACGGCTTGATGGTGTCAATGAACGCAGACTTAAGGCTCGCTTCTGACCCCAACCTTTCCAACCAGTGGACCAGACAAAGGGAAGCTGATGGGACAGGCTTGGTGTGAGTCATGGAACATTTTTGCAAGCCAAACTCTTTCAACGGGTGGAAGGCTGCTCTTTGGGTGGGCTGTGTGTGTGGAAATGAAGCACAAATTGTGATTCAGCCTAGCTGCCACAAGTTTTCTTTATGAAGGAAGAGAAATTCTAATTAGCCACCAGAAATAGCCCAACTGGTCAGAGATACTATGGTGTTTAAGTTGATGAGAAAGTCTACCTAGCTCTGCTCCCCGACTCTTGGGATTTGGAATACAAGTTTTCCCTCCAGACATCAGGTTGGCCTGGAAATCAAAATGTCCCAGCCTCATCCTGAATCACACTCGTGTGCCCTGGCACCTAGAGCGAGACATCCATTTGCCTCTGAAAAGAGCTTCAAGAGAGTCTGACACTTTGACTGTGAACACAGTGGCACGAGGAGCCGGGAACCTCAGCCTGCATCGCCCTCCACATGTGCTCTTCCCAGCTTCCCTAGAGTCTGGGTGTCAGCCGCAACTGACATCCTTGGCTTTGGGCCTTGACTTGATCTGCGCAAGGGGCAGGGCAGGTGGAGGCAAGCTGGTTAAGTTGGCCACACTCAAAGGGAACCAACTGCCTCTCTTGACTTGACTGCCTAAGAAGTACTGTAAAGGCTTCGACCTCCTGCCCAGCACATCCCTGAAGAAAGGGAGGGAAAAGGAGAACAGGTGGGACAAGCCAGGGGTCACATGTTGCCCTGTGGCGCCACCTCCTTGACCTGTATCACCCAGGTGAGCAAATGTGTCTGCAACACTGTCAATTGCCACAGAGCCCTTTCTGCGTGCGTCACATGACTGGTGTGCTAAATTGTTTGACAGAAATACCCTAGCTCCTATGTTAATCTTCTACAGGGGTGGCAGAGCAACCACAGCATGGAAGGAAACCACGAGAGACAGAGGAGGCGGCTTAACTGATGAACTGCTTGTTTTGCAAGCTGAAGGATCTGTGCTCAGTCCCTAAAAGTTATATCACAAAATAAATAAAGGTAAAAGGCCAGGTTTGGAAGTAATGCCGGAGCTGAGGAGACAGAGACAGGTAGGTTCTTGCTACCCCCTGGCCAGGTAGCCTTCTTGGTGAGTTCTAGGCTACTGACAGACCCTGTCTCAATAAACTGTGCCCATCAGAGGTTACATTTATGATCACAGCTGAGTACCTATACTGAGACAGGAGACAGTCTGAATGCAACTCAATCTAGTGTTCTCCTTAGCTGTGGGAATTAATTTTCCACATTGACAAGTCTCTATTGATCCTTTCCATGCCCCAAATACAATTCTACATTGCAAATACAAAGGCAAAGTAAAGCTGGCCAATGATGCTATCTCAGAGCTACCAAGCAAGGACTTATCTGAAAGCAGATGACGGGAAGTCAAGCCCAGGGGTGGCACCCCAGAGATGTCCCAGAGGACAAGCAGGGAAGTCATACAGGAACATCAGCCTAGCACTGGCCTTAAATGAGGGAGGCTGGTTTGGTATCTTTGCTGGGCATACAATAGTAAGGTATAAATCATCGGAAAGAGAGTTTGGGGCAGCACAGTGCTCTCAGCATGTGTGACTCGTCTCTAGCCCCATCCTTTCTCTCTGAAGCTTTCATAATACATAGGGTTCCTGTTTCTACCCAAATCTGTTCCTTCTCTTCGTTCAGTCAAGCAGCTGAGCTTCACAGCAGCTGGGCACTGTTCTATGCTAGGGACAGAGAGGTGGGCCTCTGGCTTACAAAGCCACTGTCTCTTTCCTCCTCTGTCTCCCCTGTCTGTCTGTCTCTACCTCTCTTCTCTCTCATTCTGTCTGTCTGTCTCTGTGTGTGTGTGTGTGTGCACATGTGTTTCACATTTCTGGAAAAGACCAGCAAAAATCACAGGAACAATAGGATAAAGGTGGGTACCAAGAGATGAAGGGAGGTGATTTTCCAGGGCTGACCATGAAGCGACTCACTAAGGAGGTTTTGCTTCTCTCATTTTCATTTTCTCAGAAGAAACCACTGACCTGATTGCCTTCTGAGGTGGCTGTTGTCAGGTCAGGTGCAGTGTTGTGTACAGCCTGTCTTGGCTGTACCCACCAAATGCGCCTTGCTAGTATATGGCATTATTACCTGGAAATATTTACTATTCAATTTTATCAAGTTGATTTACTATTTTTCTTAGCAGCAGTCACTAAAAACAGGCTCACAGATGTAGCCTCAAAAGGCCAAGGTCTAGAATGTGTGAAGAAAAGGCATAGACATCTAGAGAAGAAGATTTCTCTCTTTGAGTAGGAATAAACGGAATGTGTGTGTGTGTGTGTGTGTGTGTGTGTGTGTGTGTGTGTGTGTGTACATGAATGTTTCTTCCAGCTCCTTATTTCACATCAAGGTTGTAGACTCAGAAAATGATTCTATCTCACAATCTGGGAATGTTTTTAAAATGAGGGACAATGCATAAAACCATAGCATTTTTCTTGTTAAATATTAATATTAAAAAATCACTTCCATTCTGAGTTTCCTTTTTTCTTTTCTTCCCAACAGCCCATGAAACGTACAATTCTGTGTCTATGTGTCATCACACAACCATACTCAGGCTTTCTGCTTCTGATGTCTCCCATTCTTCCGAGACCTGTTCTCACCATGGCTGAAGTGGCCAGCTGATTGCCAGCACAGGGGCAATGTCAAGTCTTCACAGTACGTGCCATATCCATGGAACTCGTTGGGACTGCCTGTCTCCCTCTCTGGTCCCTTGAGGCAGGGCTCACAGCTCAGCGTCTGTTATCACAAGGCCCTGACGATGGCCCTGGAGGCAGTTCTTCGGCTCTCGCCACTCAGCACACTCCTGGGGACACGCACTTCCACTTCCACACATACATGGCCAAATCTGCTTTCTGACCACCAACTTTCCATTTCACCTGGTCCCACAGCAAACATTCCCCTTTCTCCCCAGGCCCCCAACAGTTCCCAAATGCCACAGCATCTGACCCAAACCTAAAAATTGCTGGACTCCTGCATGAGCTTTCCATTTCCACCTTCTCCGTCTCTATTTTGGTCCCATCAAAGTAGCTGTGGTCTCTTTGAATTCCCCCAGCAGAACCCGGCCTTTACCAGCCGTCCAGGGAAGTTCTCTTTCTGGCCTTAGTGATGACACCAAGCACCCTGGGTTGTGAGTTCCACAGCTACCATATCTTTCTGTCCCAGTGCACGGAACCACTTACCACTCACTGTTATCCTGCAAGGATGGGCAGAGTGTGTCCAAACATCTGCTTAGCAATCATTCAGTAACTGAACGGAAGGGCTTGGAGCAGTGGTCAGCAGCTTCTACGGATTATGAACTAGCTATGGGCGGGGTCCCAGCCATCTCCTTAGAAATGCGGGTTCTATGTGAGGTAAGAATGCTAGAGGCCGGCAGGGGCCGGCCTCTGATAACAGTGTCATCAGCCACCAGTAGTGAGCAGGTGACAGCTCCCTCCCTCAGACAGCAGGAGAGCTGTGTACCCTGCAGGGACAGCCGGCGCTCAGGGTAGCAGAACACTCCATGCTGGCTTCATGCCGCCATCTGACAGGCGTGGCTTTCCTTTCTCCCGGAAGTCAAAGTGAATGAGCTCGTTTTCATCGTGCTCAATTGCACTGCTGACACGAATGGTGTCTTTTTAAGCGTCTTCATTTCAGGACACCATGGAGGAACCATTGTTGTATAGTCAATGTAATTACAGGTATAGCTGTAGGACTCAGGGCATCACTGACTTAACTGATGCCAAGTAAAAGAACATGACCCAAAAGAACACACGCACACGCACGCACGCACATGCACGCACACTCAAAGTGCGTGAACACACACACAAGCACATACACACGTGCACGTATGAATGATCTTGTGAACACACATGCATACATTTCACATGATACTCGGATGTCAGCTCAAGGACGAGGGTGAGAGGGAGCTGCGCTTTTCATTCACAGAAGCTGTAATGAATTCCTAAAGGGTGCTCAAGAATAGAGGGAGCAGGCTTACGACATAACCTTCATCCAAAACACTTTCCGTGGTTTCCAACGGACAAGGAGTAAATTGGCCTTTTGAATGTTCTCTAAAAGAGAACAGTTTCTTAGATTAAAAATAGCTGTAATCACTCCATTAGACAAGCTGCTTGGCAGCAGAGTTAGCATAAAATTAAGACCAGCACCTATACCCTGGCTTACATGGGGAGCCTGCATGTAGTGTGTGATTCCTTTTGTTTACGTGCCCTCTCTAACCAGGGGTGGGCATGTGAGTAGTTCCTAACTATCTGCCCAAAAAGATTTAAAAAGAAATTTCCCCGATACATTTTTACACATATATTCTCCAGATATAAATGATATTAAATGCAACTTAACATGGTATACATAAAATTAGGCACACATATATCTTTGTGAATAACTTAAAAAAAAACACTCCATTAAAATGCTTTAAGGACTTGCTTACACTCTGTCTCTTGCTGAAGGCTCCCTGGGTTTACTAAGAGGTTCGAACTCACAATCACAGCTCGTGCTGGCAGCTAGTGGGGCACCGGGCATCCAGAAACCACTCTCAACAACCAGAATAAACAGGTAGCTTCATAAACAAGGAACCTTTGCTGGTGTGCGGGTGGTTTTGTTTCCATTAGACAAAACTTGGCCCAGAGAGGAACTTAGAGCCCATGAGTCACTCCTCACTGCAGGTTGGGGTCAGGATTCACGGCTGCACTTTGTTTTTGGCATTACCGCTTTTGTGGTGGTTCCTGTCTGAGTTATGGATGTATCTGGCGGTTAAGCTGAACTCGAAAGCCAACTCTATCTGTGCCAATACTCTCGACCCCCACATGGAAGCTGAAGTGAACCCGTTGATGCCACTCCTGGATGGCTTTCTTTACACCGGATGTCCAGGCTAGACAGTAGCAGCGGGCACGTTGCATTTCCTGTGCTGCTCTTCGAGTGCTGCCTTTGCTGTCTGTAGGACAGTCTCTATGGCGGCCTACAAGGCAGAGGTGATGGACAGGCAGAGGGCGCATTGGTTTCACTTCACTCGAGGCAGGGCACGGTAGGTCACGGGCTGCTTGGATCCAGAGCAACTAGTTCATCACATCACCAGGATCCAAGAAATCGCGCATAACCGGGAAACCCCATGCTGATACTTTCCCTTCCCCTAAGATGGTCACATGGTCCCCTAAGATCTAATAAGGGACACTCTAAACTGAGCTTCTTTAGTCTATGTTCCCATGAAGAAGGTAGAAATGTTCTTTGGGCCAGTTGCTCACTCACCCTTTCCAAAGACTTCAGAAGGTTCTGTCTCTCTTTGAGCTTCTGAATACTGATTACAATTTTGTGTCTTGCGCCTTTGGTAACATTCTGTAATTAAATGCAAAAAAATATATTAGAACATATCGTTTTCCAGAATCAGCTTAGACTCTCAGAGGTGATGCAGTTCTTTGCTATTTTGTTCCTGCATGTTCACAGTATGCATTTTTCTCTTGTGGATACCACTGTCCTAAACCTCTTCTCAGTGAATATACTGTCTCCATCTGGCTTCAGGTTTGCCTGTGACTTTTAGGACAGAGAGGTACAGAATAGCTGATTATCCCCCCACACCACACAACATGAGCTTTCTTCACCTTCACCATCATAAATGATTTTTGTTTGTTTGTTTTGTTATTTTAGACGCTTCTGTCTTTGGGTTGCATTACCTCGTGGTTTCCCTGGAGGCCCCAGCCTTCCTGCATCTGCCATCTGCAGAAAAGGGCAAAGTCCCCCGCTCAATGCCCCACCACACAGGGAATTTCTGTCATTTTACCTTCCCTCTTCTTTGAAAAGTGGAGCTCGCTTTACGCGGGTAAAGGTGAAGAGCTGTGGGCTTTATTTTAATCTGGCTACAGCAACAGGTGGAGGCCCTCATTTAGCCTTATTGATCATAGTTACCATACTTTGTCCAGTGAAGGGTCCCTTTCTAACCAGGTCTCTAATGCAAAGTCCTGGTCATCTCATAGTGTAACCATTGCAGAATTCCTTTTAACCAGTGAAGGGCCAAGACGGCAGTGGCATCTCCTCCAGAGACACTGAGGGTGCATTTCTGCTTAGCTTTGATTTCCACATCAAATGAATTCAATTATTTTGGAAAGTTTGTGTCAGGCTCTAGCACTGCCCTCTATGTCAGTTCGTTCTTTCTATTTTAATTTGAAAATCTGATGGCTTGGATTTTCTCTCAACTTTGACCAAAGCACAGATTGCTCTTTGAAATAGTTCCCATCAACCCCTGGAGCCTGAAGCAGCCCCTGAGATCCAAGAACTGGTGGGAGAGATGTTAGGAAGTTGAAATTAGTGTTTTGCATTCTCTCAGAATGTGCAGTGACTGCGCTTTGCCTTGTTCTCAATACTGGTATTTAGCCAGGCCTGCCAAGGGGGATCTGAGGGCACTGAACAAGCTGGCAGGGAGGTACTCGACCAGCCAGGCCATGCCCCACATGCTCCAGTCTCTCCTTCCTGCTGGAGGAATATTAAATTCATTTGGACCACCAGTGTCTTCTCAAAGGAAACTGGGGTCAAGTTGAGAAATGCAAATAGCATTTTAAACAAGAGAAGCAGAGACACCCATTAATCTGTTGACTAGAGACTGGCATGGCAGAAACAGTCTTAGTTTCAGGGGTGCTGTTGACTGCTCCTTGCATTCACACTTGGGGTGGGGAGAAACCTGAGAAGGAAGGAGGAATTCTGTCCTTTTATGTCCTCCCTTCAGAAGGGAAATACATTCTAAGACTTGGATATCTCACTGGCAGTCATTGTCCCATGCTGCCTAAGGTTGTCAGAAAGTATTCTAAACAATTTACTCCAATCCCAACCAAGAGCAGTGTGAATGAATTCGGAAAAGAGTCGTAGAGTTGTTCAGTGCTTCCACTGAGCAGTCCAGTTCGAAGTTAGTGGCTATGTGACCAGACTGGATAAACAGACAAGGATCTGTCCCTACCAAAACAAGTCCTGGCATGGAAGAGGGAAGAAGAGAGCCAGGGGCCAAGCTCTTTGGAACACTGTTTCAATGCTCTGTCTAGGCAATTCCACAGGATCTTCCTTAGGTGTACTTGGATCTACCTTTTCCTAACTTCCTCTCCTTTCATTGCCCTGTGACTGCCCGCTGATTTTTATCTCCCACTGAAAAGTCAAGGCAAGAAGCTAGCTTACTCACCGTGCGAAACCAGCCAGCACTAGGCAGTTCCTAGATCCATGCAAGCTACTGAATAGATAAGTTATGGTTCCAAACAAGGTCTGTTTGAGGCTGAAGCTCAAGACCTTGTCTCAGGGAAGGCTCCCCTCTGGCACATACCTGAGCCTCCAGCTGACACTCAGTGAGGGCCATCATTTCCTCGTATGTCATCTGCGAGAACAGTGCAGCATATTTGTGCAGACGGAGGCTTTTTAACCAAGCTGGAACATCTATGGTGCAAATGTGCACGAGATGGGGAGAGAAATGAAAGGAACAAGCAGAGGTGATGAAAGATGGGAGGACGGAAAGGGGGAAAGGATGATGGTCAGAGAAAAAAAAAAAGAAAAAATGTTATTACTTAATTTGATGATTAAGAAAGCTAAAGGCTAGCCCTGACAACCCCATGGGTCCTTAATTCTACCTCAGGTCAGGCACTGCTGACTTTAAGCATTTCAGGGCAAGCAGAAATCCCCTAAAATAGCTGTGTGTGTGTGTGTGTGTGTGTGTGTGTGTGTGTGTGTGTGTGTGGACAGTTTTCTATCTGGAGTCTTCCACAGTGCCTTTAAAGTTACCAAAGGAGTTCATCACAATAAAATAAAACATAAAATTAGCCGGGCCAGTTCACTGTTGTCTTGGGAAAGCTGACTTAGAATAGCTTTTTAGAAAAGCTGAACAGATACAATCGTCTATACCCTCAAGACACTTCTATTTTTTGAGGCTTGGTGCTATTCTCCAAAAGCCACATCAGTCACTTCTAGAAGCAAGACACATGTGCAGTCGTTGCACTCCATAAATCTGCACATGACGCTTCCTCTACCTCCTCAGGCCCCTGCGGGATAAGGGCGCCCTGGGCCACTGTGACGGCATGTCTGCTAGTGCTGTCTCCAGGCTCTGGGATGCATTTGAATGTGTCTTTGACCCCTTCCCTGCTTGCCAACCTAAGAGATATCATAGTACAGAGGACCCAAACACTGCCTCTACCCCAAGATAATGGAAAGTCCAAGGCACAACTGAAGAAAATCCCAAGTTTGGTACTTCAGAGTTAAGGAAATCACTGGACTGAAGATCTACTGAGTCATTACTTTGCTAACTACAACCAAAATAAGTCATTTCCCCAAAACCTCTTGAGTCAGAATCTTTGAGCTGATAAGATCTTTGAACTGTTTCTGGAACCATCTTCCCCTACCCCAATATTCATTGTACAGATGGTGACATTGTGCCATTAAGTGTAGACCACAGAGTAAGAATGGTCAAGTGGGCTAGAACCCAGGTCTTCCGGGTATCACCAGCTTCCTGCATTGCACCAAATTCTCCCAAGGACTGCAGAGATCACCAGCAACAGAACTGAGTAAACAGAGACGGAGTATTTGAGACTCTAAGGCACTGGATGTCATTTATGTTTTCTGTGGGGTATAACCATGTCTCTAATCATACTGGCCACAAGACTTTGTACTACTGATTACAAAGTGTTTACTCTTAGGCACTGATGAGCCGGCTTCATGCATTAAAGACAGGGGGAAGCTTCGGCTTCCAGTTCTCCAAAGTTTAGAGTAGATAACTAGGCTGATGGAAGACACTTAGTCAACTCTGAAATCAGGCTTTGCCTCCTGGGAAAACCAAACCCAGGCTTAGGGACTGTGCATGGGGGGGGGGAGGTTCCTTAAAGTCAGGCATAGCAGTAGGTGTTCATGGCCCTGCTGAGGGGACCCTGTGCTCGGCAGTAGTGTGAAGACCAAAGATGGGGAGTTTCTGAGATTTAGAACTGAGCATTCAATTAAGAACAGACTGTTGTTGCAGACTAGAAATTGCTTGATTCTGTGCTTGGAGGGCCTCCAATCTACTGTGACAAGAAGCTCCTCTGGGACCATCACTACCTGCATTCAGACAAGGCTTCTCCAGGTGCACAGTGCTGACTCATAACACACTCCTCAGCACAACCCACCTCTGGATCACAATTTCTAGACATGCTAGCCCAGGAGTCTGGTACTTTTCCTGACATAACGTCCTGGAGCTCTTTAACCAGACTTCCTTCTCTGTCATATATTTGCTTTTGCTGAAACAATGCTAACACTTCCGCAGACAGGGGTGACTGTGGCTTGACATGGGTAGCCATGGCAACTACAGCTCCGGTGTTCTGATAGGTTACATGCCATCATGTGGCCATCAGACTTTGTGTTTGCCATTCATATCTTTAAAAAGTCCCATGTCACTGCTCAGAAAACACAACAGTCATGATTCAGTGAAGTCTGGGTGATCCAGTGTCATACTTGGACACAATTCATCATGAAGGAGGGTGGGGTGGGGCAATTCCACAGACCATTTTCTTTCTCTCCCCCTGTTCGCTCTTTAAACCAAGTACCCTAAAGCTTAGTCATGAAAAATCCACTGATGGTAAGATGAATAAAATCCTCAGCTTCAAGGATGTGCTGCAAATGGGGTATTTCATAAGCCAAAGCGGTAATAGGACATCTTAAGTCAGGAAGCATGAGGGGCACCTATGAGTTCACTGAGTGCTAGTTACTTTCTAGAAAGCAACTTGGACAACTAGACTCCCTGGAACAGGTGGAACTGGGTGAGCTTGCTTCACTCATTTCTTCAAAATGCAGGTCACTGGGTGTAGTTTTCTGGAAAAGGTTCCTATACCTATACCATTTCACAATAGGATGGGCTAGGCCTTCCTGAAGGCTTATTTCCAGACATATTCCTGGGAAACATAGGCTCCTTTGACCTTACATTCCTTAAGGAGGTCAGCCTGCCTGCATAGAACTTAGCTCAGTGCGGTGTGTCTAGAGAGCTCTTTCTCCTTCCTGTAGCAAGTAGGGGTGAAAAAAAAGAGAAAGCAATCTTAATCCTGAAGAACACAACCTCCTAGCAATACAGTCAGACCCTGTCTCAACAACAACGACAAACCCCAAAGGAACAGCAACAGAGAAGAACATAGCCTCCCACCTATTCTTTCTCCGTTGGTAGGGAGAGCCTTTCCCTTGCCAGAGATTAAAACAGAACTCCACTAAAAGGGAAACAAGCAAGAAAGGAGAGAGCCTTGACTGTTTCATCCCCACATGCAAGAATTCCAATGACCGGGCTGCTGGGCTCTCCAAGAAGTTAGGCAGGGATGAACTCCAACCAAAGTGTAGACGCCATCCTGTTGGATGTACCGTCGAGAACCATTTTAATGTCTTCGCTTGGATCTTTCCATTTCTGTGAGAAGCTGTGGCTATGGTTGGAAGGTCCCATGGGAGATGCAGAGGGTGTTTGGCAGAGCAGCTGAAACGTACATTTGGCATATATGTCTTCAGAGCACAGCTGTGTAGTTCAGCTTGTCTAGGTTGCTCCTGTTGCACAGCAATGCAGGTCCCAAGCTGGAAAGACATCCCTCATACAGTGCAAAAAAAAGATGCTCTTGCTATGAGTAAGGCAGAATTCCTTACCAATAAATACTATTTTTATTCAACCTTTGTGAGGTGCCATCAGTAGAGATCAGACTCTGTAAAAACATGCCCTTGTCATCAAGGAATTTGTGATCCAGAGCTCATGACTGAGTTCCATGCAAAAATCCTAACAGTATAAACACCGAGAATACCCAAATCCTGGGGTAACACAGAACAAAATGAATAGTTGGGTTTGCCGAAGCAGAGAGAGAAAGCCCCCTGCATATTGCTGCTTGGAAGAGAAGCAGCTTGGAGACCACTAGACAAACCACATTATAGAAACCATTTTACATGATAGGAACATCAGAAACATCAGAGCCATAGAGCATTTAGGGTAGAGAAAATGCTTGGTGAATGGTGGAAATAGCTAGAGACAAAGAGGGGACAACATAGGCAGGGCAGTCAGGTGCCTGAGATGTGAAATGTCAAAACAAGGAAAGTAGATTTTTGTCTTGTGGGTGATGAAAAGCCATTGAAATCTGTGAACTGGAAATACAGGTGATGATATATCAGAAAGATAATGGTGGTCAAGGGAAGGTGGCTGGAGGATGGGGAGAAAAGGACATTTAAGAAGATGTTGAGGATGGTTTGAAAAGGGTGGGAGGGGAATGAAAGAGTAGACACTGATATGACTTGGGTATCAGGAAGAATAGGCAAGGAGGGAAACAAATGAACTAAAAATGGTTCCTTTGGTTCAAGTTTGATGAGAGGGAAAACAGGTGAAAAGACAGCAGACCAAGACCTTGGGGAAGGCTAAGCTGGAGAATAGCTAGCCTCAAGCACCATCATCTATGGGGTTCCTGAAGCTATCATCTGTCCCTCCTGAAGCTCCTTCCAGCTCCTGTTGCAGACAACACTGGTTTATCTTTTCCTGTCCATTTTGGATAGAGGCTACACAGCCCTCCTGCATGTGTTCTATGCATCCTCAACAGGTCTTTACAATGGGATCAGATTTTAAACTGTGCTCATTCTGATTCTTTAAGAGTTTGGATACCTTGGCCACAGAGAGGTTTTGTGTTATGCCCTCAGCTCACATAGAAGCTGGGTTCCAGCGAGAATGTTGGCTGCTTTTCTCGTAATGCCTGCAGCAGGTGCCAGCTGGGCCAACAAGCCATGCAGCACCCAACCTCAAATGAGGACAAGCTGATAAGGGAGGCAACCGGAGGGGGAGAAATTAAGGCAGCCCTTGGTTCAGAAGAGAGAAACGTGAATAAGCAGTTTCCCACAAGAGAGCTTACTTGTGCTACTCTTGGTACCTGGTGACAGAAATCAACTCTTATTCCTCACAGAGCACCAGGCTGATATCACACAGCCTTCTCTCTAAGATGTGGGTTGCATCTTTGGTCTTTGAGGGAAAGAAGAAACACAAAAGAAAGGTGCAAAGAAACCAACACTTCACTCTTGAAGTCAGAGAGAAAGCAAATCCTTCAGGAACAAAGAGCAGCAGTCACCATCAAGCCCGTCTTTGCTTTTGGCCAGAAGAGAATTCTCCACAGCCTTGTTCTGTTCCAGGCACTGAGGAAAAGGAGGTGTGCCTGCTGAATCCTCTTGAGAGGAACTTCTTGCTGCTGAGGCATGTCCAGGCTATTTCAGGAGGGCACCCCTCTCATGAGGACATACCACGGGCCTTTGAACAAATAAATTTGGGATAAAATACTTCAAAGAGTTAGATGCAAACAGTGAGCTAAATTTCTTCCGGGTGCTTCCATTTACCACAACATTCCTCCTTAAAGAGTGTGCTCTGTACTGTTAAAGGGAGGCTGAGGTCCTTAAGGCCTCCAGCTGAAGATGTTGCATAT